GCATGTAATAAATGTCCAAGGACCTGTAGCACACCTTACCGGACTTCCCATAAGAAGAAATGGGTGCTCGCAATGACTACGGATGGCACCGCATCAAGTAAAATCGTTGTGAAGAGATGTCACCAGCACTCCAAATATGACAGAATACGTCAACGTTTTAGTGAATCTTCGTTTTTATTTTTAGAAGTCACTCAAAGTGGAATCAAGCGCTTTCGGGGCCGCACAGGGTCCCCTTTATCAGGCTGAAAGTGAAGGGCAGCATGCGATGACGCAGCGCCCGGCATTCTGCTTGGCCTGGAAGCTGGCTTCACGCTCCCCCGTCATTACACGGCGCCCGTCTTCCTGATTGGCCGGCCAGACGGCTCTGGCTGGGTACCAGAGGAAGGCCGCCTTCTAGCTGGAGAGGCCCCGGGGGTGACAGGCTGGACAAGGTAAGAGACTTTCATGTTAATCGGGAAGCCGAGTGAGGAGTCTTTACACGCTGCCCGGCTAATCAGGAAGCCAGGTGGCGAGTCATTACACGCCACCTGGCTTCCTGAATGGGACTTCCGTTACTCGGTATCTGGTATCGTCGAGTACCGGGAAAAAAATTATATCGGTACCAAAATACCGGTATCGGTGCATCCCTAATAATAATAATAACGGTTTTGCTCCATGTTCTCCTTGCTGGAGAGGAAGCTGTACCTGAGAACCTGCAATGCAAGGATCTCCCTGCTTCATTCATTCTGTGCTTTCTGCATATCTCCTGCTGTTACCTGAGTATTCCCCTCACCAGTCATCAGACCTGTTATAAGAGGGGCAACTCTACAAAGATGGCTGCCTCCGCACTCTGTTTGCCTGAGGAAGGGGCCGCATGGTCTCGAAACGTCGCTAAGGAGATGTGTGTTATCTCAGTCAATAAACAGCATTGACTTTAATATCATGGAGTGCGAGTGACTACTTTCATCTATCTACATTTCACGGAGGCATCCGTTGTCACCACCGCACCCACCCAGTTGGATTTGGGTTTTTGTCCGGTCAGGAGTGCGATGGGACAGGAGGATTAAGTTATGCCTCCACACAGAATAAATAATGGGGGAAAGATAAGATGCAGGGAGCTTACAGGCATTCCTGGTGACTAGTCCTTTGTCCTCTGTTTGCCTTTTATGGACACAGCTTTCACAGGACAGGTCCTCTTTATGTAAAGGTGCTCACATGCTTACTCGGTGGAATCTCACAGAAACCCTGGGTCACCTGTGAGAACTGAGATGTGAGATGAGGGAGGACTTTTTAGGGAACCGTCTCCCACACTCAGAGCAGGAATATGGCATGTCTCCCGTGTGGATCCTCTGGTGCTGGACGAGGTTGGACTTCTGCGCGAAGCCCCTCCCACACTCAGAACACGAATACGGGCGCTCACCCGTGTGAATCTTCTGGTGTCTAGTCAGAAGCTTCCTCCAGGAGAAACATCTCCCGCATTCTGAACAGGAATGCGGCTTCTCCCCCGTGTGGGTCTTCTCATGGGAAATAAGAGTTTCCCGCAAGGAGAAACACTTCCCACATTCGGAACACGTGTACGGCTTCTCCCCCGTGTGAACTCGCTCATGTCTGATAAGAGTCGTTTTCTGGCTAAAACATTTGCCGCATTCGGAACAGGAATAAGGCTTTTCCCCCGTGTGAATTCTCAGGTGCCTGACGAGAAGTTTTCTACAGGAAAATCCTCTCCCACATTCCGAGCATGCATATGGCTTCTCCCCGACGTGCGACCTCTGGTGCGAAATGAGAGACTCTCTACGGGTGAAACATTTCCCGCACTCCGGACATGAAAACTGCTTCTCCATTGCGTGACTCCTCTGGAGTGGGATAAGTTCTGCTTGTCCGGTAAAACATTTGCCACACTCAGGAGATTGGAAAATTTGTCCCTGTGTGTGGGCTGTACAACGAGTTGTAGGAGAAAAGTCTTCTGAAAAACAACCGCCATGGGAAGAACGATGAGATAATGGATCGGCACCATGATGTGCTGGAAGAATATCTCGGGCAATGGGATTTCCTTCTGAAGAATCATGTGTGTCATCATCACCTTCTACTTCACCATCTGAAGGGACAACCGGATGTTTCTCGGTATTGTACCTTCTGTACTTTCCATCTGGAGGAAATACATGAGGGAAACAGGAGTCATAAAAGTGTATTTCTACTTCTTTTTTTAGTTTTGGGTCAGGTTGGGAAGGTTTAGAACCCCTATGGTGCCCTTTTTATCTTCTATTGGGAGACAAAAAATACTCTTGGACATCTAAACCTTTGGTGTGGTGCCTTCTTTACCTTCTATAATGAAATACTTTTGTACATCTAAGCGTTTGGTGTGGTGCCTTCTTTACCTTCTATAAAGAAATACCCTTGGACTTTTAAGCCTTTGGTGTGGTGCCTTTTTTACCTTCTATAATGAAATACTCTTGGACATCTAAGCCTTTGGTGTGGTGCCTTCTTTACCTTCTATAATGAAATAATTACTCTTGGACATCTAAGCCTTTGGTGTGGTGCCTTCTTTACCTTCTATAATGAAATACCCTTGGACATCTAAGCCTTTGGTGTGGTGCCTCCAGCTTGCACGGTGTGATCACTACTGGCACCTGTGCCACTCGCTGTCCACTCAGACTCTGTTCCCAACTCCAGAGTCTTTGGGACACGAGGTGCAAGGGAAGCCTCCTCCCACATTCAGTCTCCACCCAGATACATGACAATCCAAAACTAAATAGAGTTTAAAGAGAAGGAATAACTCCTTCACTTGTGTGTAAAATTAATCTTGAGCTGCTGAGCTCCATCAACAGGCTTTTCATTGCTTTTTTTTTTTCCAGTCCTTCCTAAAAGAAATAAAATATGGACAAAGCCCCTTTTATGTTCCCTACAAAATGCAGACGGAGCAGGTTTGTTAGTTAAGGCTAGAGTGGGGAAGGTTGCCAAAATTGTATATAAAGCTTATGAGCAATGTGGCACCACACCCCTATTATCCAATGAAGATACAAGAAAGCCTTTTTGTGGGGGATTTTAAGGGGCCACAGGACACGGCCATACACATGTGGCACCTTAAAAGCCCCCACAAAAAGGCTTTCTTGTATTTTCATTAGAGTGGGGAAGGATCAGGGCCCTGTCATCTGTGTGGCCTGCCCCTCGCATTCTGTTGACTCTTTTCTGAATTTAGTGTTTATTACTCACCTGTGCTGAGCTCTGGCAGGATCTCCTCCTCCTTACATGGCTCATCACCCCTCACAGACGACTCTTCTTCATCTTTCACCTCCACTTTAATTAGATCTTCATCCTAAGAAAGAAACATTTATAATAAAATTAACTACCTTACGTCCATGGCCGTTTGTGAACGGCCAGATGGACGTCTGCTCAGAGCGGGAGGGCGTCTTAAGACGTCCTGCCCCTCCCCCCTCTCGTGTCCGCGCTGAGCGCCGCACACGAGAGGGAAAACCGTCAGCATGTAAACAGCCAGCGATGGCTGTTTACATACAAGCGGTCAGGCGTCTCTAGAGACGCCCGATCGCTTGCAGGATCTGCGGGTGTGCGCCGCCCCCCCCCCCACGTACCTCCTCCTGCTCGTCTCTTCGCCGCCGCTGCCGGTCCCGTGTTCCGATGTGGCCGGTGCGGCTGGGACCGGCACGGCGACGCTCTAACAGGAGATCAAAGGGATGATCATTACTTGATCATCCCTTTGATCTCTCTTCTTGTCCCCGAATGCAGGAAGTGATGTATATTACATCACTTCCTGCATTCAGTGTCACTCTCCGGTGCAGAACACCGGAGAGAAGCTGATGGAGCAGATCTGTGCTTCATCAGCTTCTGTGGGGGTCCCTAGGTGACATCAGAGGTCTTGAGACCCCTGATGTCTCCATAAAGAGGACCTGTTTGGTGAACTGGCTATTACATAGGGGATTCCTTAGTCCCCTATGTTATAGCAATAAAGTTAAGTCAAAAAAAAAAAATTACAGCATTAAAAAAAATAAAGAAGCTAAAAAAAATAAAGAAGCTAAAAAAAATAAAAAAGAATAACACAAACATTTTTTTAAAGTCCCCCGCCCCCCAGATACACGCGCAAACATGCGTCGGGTGCGCCTATGTACGAAACCGACGATTGCGCCCATTATGCAGCACATGTTACATATCGCCGCGAACGTCGCAGTGAGAACAATAATTCTAGGGCCATCAATCACTGATGACACTAAACTGATGAGCGGTAAAAACGTTTAAAGCGTCGCCTATGGCCAATTTTGGCTGCGGTCGTTTTCTGCGATTTTGCGGGCACGCGCAATATTAAAGGTTGACATGTTTAGTGTCTATTTACCCGACGTGACCCCGACTTTTATATTTTACCAAAAAATTGGGGTGAAAAAAAATGTTTCATAACATTTTATAGGGAAACATGTTTTTTTTCAAAATTTAGGGTACTTTTTTTGTTATATAGTAAAAAATAAAAACCCCATTGGTGAATAAAAGCCACCAAAAGAAAGCTCTATCTGTCCCCAAAAAATGGTATGAAAATCGTTTCAGTAAAGCGTTGCATGACGGAATAAACATCAGTCAAAGTACCGCAGCGCTGAATACTGAAAAATGGCCTGGCCAGGAAGGGGGTGAAACACTATGGCCTTCAAGTGGTTAATAAGAAATAAAACAAACTGCAGTGAAAGTCACGTTGGTGAGCCCTCTATAATCACCATTAATGGATGGTTTAAAATGACTGCAATCTCTATCAGTCTATGTCATGCAGTCACTTCCAGCGTCCACACATCTGGATTGGAAGGAGGAAGTGAGTGCACGACATACACTGACCCATATTCAATCTCAATCAAGCTCGGCATTTTCACCTCTCTGTTTAAAAGCTCCTCCAGTCTTTCTACCATTTCCCCCCCCAGGAATGCTGCACCTTTCCCATTAAGATGCAGCCCGTCTCGGCTGAAGAGCCTACTTGATAAACTCTCCTACGGGTCCATACAGCGTCATTCAACCTCTAGCTCTTGGACCTGGTTGTCAGACATGCTTCCTGTAATCACACTTCCCAGACTGGCCAGTAGGAGTTATATTAAGTGCTGATGAGCCAAAAATATCTTTTCATCAAGCCCAGAGTAGGCGATTGGCTGCGATTTATGTTCATTGCCTGCTTTCTGGGATACATTCCTGCACCAGTACTAGAAGTTGTACCAGAATTTCACAGCTGTTCTATTTACCGGATAATGGTCTGAGATTGTGTGATGTTCCTGTGTGGAATCCCGGGAATACAGAGGACGGGTCTGAGGGATCTCCTGATGTTCCTGTGTGGAATCCCGGGAATACAGAGGACGGGTCTGAGGGATCTCCTGATGTTCCTGTGTGGAGTCCCGGGAATACAGAGGACGGGTCTGAGGGATCTCCTGATGTTCCTGTGTGGAATCCCGGGAATACAGAGGATGGGTCTGAGGGATCTCCTGATGTTCCTGTGTGGAATCCCGGGAATAGAGAGGACGGGTCTGAGGGATCTCCTGATGTTCCTGTGTGGAATCCAGAGGACGGGTCTGAGGGATCTCCTGATGTTCCTGTGTGGAATCCTGGGAATACAGAGGACGGGGACATCTCTCTGGAGTATTTATGTGACAAGATCCATCTGTAAGAAACAATGACAGACTCACATTGGTGTATTAAAATGACTCAGTCAGAAAGCTGCAGACAGGTGTAAAGTGCAGATATTGGTGGAGCGCTGGACCACTAGCATGTGTGTGAGCTAGTATAGTCTTTGGTCATGATCATTGGCATCCCCTGGAAACCTGAGATAGTCCAAAAGAACATACAAAAAAATGATAGTGCCTCCATCACGTGGTCCAGTACCACTTTAATGATTTGAATGCAAAGTCCGATGCATTCCTCCTTCATCGGCACTCACAAATCTTGTTGTAACCTTTGAAGGGGGAAGCCTTCCTCCTGGTCAAACCTTTTCAAATACTTTGCATTCAGGAATATCTGTTTTGCATGCAGAAGCGTTCAGGCAAACAACTGATGTAGTAGATGTTCATATTTGTATGGTCAAAGGGAATATTTCACTCCTCCCTCCGGTATATTGGGCAGGCATATAGTTTGCTGATCCATAATGCCTCCCACACATTCCTACTGGCAAAGGAGACGGTCTATCACCGTGAGGTCTGCGATGCTGTTGAACCAAGTATGAACACATACCGGCGCTCACTCGCTTCTCGATCCTGTCACGGCAGAGATCCGTGACTGTCACTCACGGCTCCCTGCAGGGACCCCCCCCCCTTCCAGTCCGATCCTCCAACGCTGACTGGCGGAATGGACGGGGGAGGGGGCGGGCACAGCTGACTCTGTTTCTAGATAGACAGAGCCAACTGTCACTCACGCAGCTGGGTGGATCTCGACAGTAATGTCGGGATCCGTTCCGGCTGCGGCGTCTCAGTATACCGCGAGCTGTAGCTCGCAATATACTGAGCTTTGGGTCACGGGACAACGCTAGTTTGTGTTCTCCCGTGACCCTTAGGAGAACTATGGGGAAAAGCCCTGACCCCATAGTTCCCCTTTAATAGGCCATCTCCATGTAACAGTTACTAGGAGGTAAGTTTTCACTACCACAGACACTCCTCATGTCAGTCATGCACATTGAACCATGTAGCAGTTATCCTACATTACTCTCCTTTACTGGGAACTACAAGAGACAGCAAGAACACAGATGACACTCCAGATATCAGGCGTGGTCATTTCTGGGTATCTGAAGCCATCATCAGATGAAAATCCATACTTACTACCATCATAGAGGATATCAAAGTTGCCTTCTCAAGACCAGAAGATGGAGACACCTTGGCTAGGGTCCACAAAGTTTGAAGATTGGGTAAGCCCTACATAGGAGTATTCAAATCTATTCATGACCAACTGCTGAATCTTATCCTACACCTACATCGGACCTATACCAGAAGATCTATATACTGTCTGATAACTTCTATTAATGAAGGACTGTTGTAGACTCCAGACTTTTCTACAAATGTACTACCACCATGATGTTCAACATGGTTTGTTTGCTCCATTACAATCTGTGATTCTTTCTGTATTCTGTAGGGTTTATCCCTCACCTGAGCTGATCTCTGAAAGAACTTCCTCCTCTTTAATCCTCACAAGTCCTTCTTCCTCCTCAGCTTTGACGCCTCTCTGAGTGTCTGTGAATGAAGATGAGAGTGAAGCCCCCTGTACTGAGATGTATGAGAGACCCCAAAGAGTGTGTGTGGGGGGGGGACTGGTCACATCTCTTGGCTGGTAACACACAATGACATGATGTGAGGAGGAGAGCCGGAGTCTAATAGAGGCTGATGGTTCCTGACTCCCCCCACTAGAAACATTCCGTCCCCCCCATTACTGTCTACTGACAGAGGAGGGGGAAGAAGAGATTCTGGGACAAGGAGAATCTGGGACTCTTTTCGGGATTTAGTGTTTATTCCTCACCTGTGCTGATCTCTGGAGGGATTTCCTCCTCTTTACACGATTCAACATCCACCACATAAGTCTCTTCTTCATCATCTTCAACTTTAACAACAATCAGATCTTCATCCTGGATACCACACAATACAACATATTTTTTTTAACAAGATGAAATACAAGAGTATCATGATCAAGATCCTCAGTGTCACATACCTGATCCTCCTGAGGGATCTCCTGATGTTCTTGTGTGGAATCTCGGGAATACAGAGGATGTTCCTGAGGGATCTCCTGATGTTCTTGTGTGGAATCTCGGGAATACAGAGGACGGGCCTGAGGGATCTCCTGACGTTCCTGTGTGGAATCCCAGGAATACAGAGGACGGGCCTGAGGGATCTCCTGACGTTCCTGTGTGGAATCCCAGGAATACAGAGGACGGGCCTGAGGGATCTCCTGACGTTCCTGTGTGGAATCCCAGGAATACAGAGGACGGGCCTGAGGGATCTCCTGACGTTCCTGTGTGGAATCCCAGGAATACAGAGGACGGGTCTGAGGGATCTCCTGAGGTTCCTGTGTGGAATCCTGGGAATACAAAGGACGGGTCTGAGGGATCTCCTGACGTTCCTGTGTGGAATGCCGGGAATACAGAGAGCGGGGACATCTCTCTGGGGTCTTTCTCTTCCTGGACCCATCTGTAGGAAACACACACACTGACTGAATACATTGTTTCTATGTCTTTATATCAGAGGATGTGTGTATCTAGGGGGATCCTCAATACTCAAGAAATGAAAGTCTCCTCTTACCCGGTGATGTGAGGGCCGGCCGGTTCTCCATCATGACGTCCTTCTATAGTTCCTTATGTCGTTGTCTATACTTCCTCTCCTCTGTATGTCGCAGTCTATACTTAAAATAGATGCTGCTTTGTACAGCTCACACTGCAAATAAACAATAGTTTCCCAAATACAATAAATTATAAAAGTATAACTAAAAATCTTATTTCCTGCACTATATAGTGCAGTAGATCTAGTGATCAGATCTGTGTTAATGTCTTCAGGATGACAACTCGTCAGGCCTTTGTTCTCTAGTATTCGGACTGTGTGAACTCAAATTTGCTCAGCCTGGTGTCAGTAGGGGAGGTGCGGCTAGAGAGTGAAGCCCCTACCCTAGCACCACAGAAATCACACACTCTCTACATGGCATCCACTTTGGGGCAATCAGTGGTGGTTCTCTTGTGTCCCAGTCCATTTTGTGTCAATGTGAGGGATCTGATGATGTTCCTGTATGGAATCCCAGGAAATTAAAGAAGTGGCAAAGTCACCCACAAACTTCTTGTAACTCTAAGGACAGGACATAAGGAATGCGCTCAGGTTTGGTCTGAATCTGAGCTCCTCTGAACCCAGAAGGGACATGGTGCCACCTGCCCAATCAGCTGCTGCCAAGGCATTCCCTGTCCCGCAGCTGCACATAAACAAAGGGGCCCCGATGCTTTTGCTGACATCATATGGCAATATTATGTCAATGTCATTTATAGCCATGTGGCCATATAAGGTCAGTGATGTCATAGTATCCCAACCCTTTGCCTATGTGCAGCTACCGATGGGGAATTCCCAAGGTTCTGTCCAAACCTGAGCTCATCCCTACTGACATGCATTCAGTGGAACAATTGGACAACATATTGATTGATTCAGTGACAGAATCCTACCTTTCTTATCTCTTACAATGAATAAACATATATATATATATATA